ATGTATCCACGTCGGCATGCGGCCCAGATGTTATTGAGAACAGCCCTGTTCCTATATGCATCTGCATTTTATTGTATGGAATCCATTTGAAGACAGAAACCAGTGTTTTTTTTTAATGTATGATGGTATTTTTATCCTTGAAGATGTCAAAATTAATAGAAAGAACAAAATTTATGGAATGAATGATAGGTTTACCTGATTGAGATTCATGGCTTTATGTTTAATTTTCTTTAAAAGCCTTTATAGTTGATCCTATAAATGGTAGCTTGCATATGTTCACCACTACTGAAGCACTTTAAGAAAACACATTATATTAATAAAATTTATATTTTTCATCAGTGATTCAAATTCAGTTCTTTGAGAAAAGAAAATCCTAGTCACTGCTTATATGTAGGAATATACAAGCACCAATTAACTCGATTAACCTAGTAAAAGTCATCTCCACGGAGAAATAGCAGCACCGTAATTTGTTATTCTTCTTACGAAAACAAAATTAATAAAATTTTCCATTGAAAAAAAATGATTCTGTCAACAAGAGTGAGAAGAACTTATAATCAATAGCTATGGAGAGTATTTTTTGTCTTAAGCAGTTTATTTTGGAGTGCTTTTTAAGGGGAATTTGTCTTCGAAGATGCCATTGTTGGGGACATGTGAGACTGATGGTTGGTATTGGAGGCAGGACATTTAACATTGTGCCATTAGTGAGGGGAAGATATATCAGAGGAGCATGAGCAGTTCTAGTGGAGTGATTATGATTTCATCGAACCCGTCATTAATATATCAACATAATTAAAGATGCGTATGATGAAAGAATTACAGGTATGAGATCTAACAGCAGCGGTAGCAAAGAGTTTCCTATTACTACAAGCTTGCTTCAAAATCTAGCCCTTGTCCTTTTGCTTTAGTCAAGTATGAGCTTATGAGACATATCCAAGACGAGGTCCCTTTGGTATAAGTTAATCCCAAATCACGTATCTTTAGTTGATCAGACTAGGATGGGGAGTTGAAAAAATTAACAATTTTTTTGGTTGTTATACTCGTTCAGTCACTCAAGATCTTTGGTCTCTACTTAGACCTGATGAGAAAATTGGGATCTATTCTTATGAACTCGTTGAGAACGATTCTAATATAGTTTGTGGCATATTAGAGGTAGAAGGCTATGTTATTGCTTTCTTTCATTTCGAAATGCGGGAGGACAATAGAGTTTTGTGATCTAGAATTTTAGAAGAGCAGTTAAGAATCTAAAGTTCTAGGATAACTAAGATATAATACATACAATCATGTTACATGTACATTCTTGTTTACGTTAAGTTTGACATTCTAACACATGGCATCCATCATAGCCATTGATTTTTACATCATCATTTCACATCACTGACCAAATTTTGACAAATAGGTGGGAATGTCAACAACAATGTAAAAAACAATGTACATAGAGCTTAATTGTAATACATATTGATACTTTTTGGTAGCATCACATATAATCATTTAGTCCCTCATATTGTTAAAAATGATGATTTCTTATTCTGCTATTATATATATTTTTATTTACTAAGCAAGCATAGCCACTTTATCATATTAATATAAAAACAATCGGGCCGCGTTTATTCTTAGAGATGTAGTAACTTGACTTATTCTAATAGAAAGAAGAAGAAACTGGACAATTTTACTGTCATGCAGGAAGAGCTGAAGAATAACACAATAAAAATGGTGGAGCAGAGTAAGGTTCTTAATACTCCTGGTGCAGAAAAACAGACAAAGCGGGAGCTGTTTGATGCACTTCGGCAGGAGCTTGAGTAAGTGACACTTATTATGTACTCATTGTTAAACATGTTCTTTTATGTAACCACATAAAGGCTGCTTGCCCTAGTCTTAGCGAAGCATGAAGACGAAATGGCCTTTGAACTTTTGTCAGTCTACGGGGATGTTATAGTATTGATTTGATATAAGATTATGAAAGACGTTTATGACGAGTGGTACAAATTCAATGAACTTGAAGAACAGAAGAAGTTAAGACTTCTCAAGTCCTCTCGTGTCAACACGCCGAACTAAGAAATCTGAATTCTTTAATGAGCTTGTACCTATATAAGTTGACAAAGCATAATAAACTTGATTTGTCCTCGTATCAATTCCTTGGAAATAAGATATGATTTAGAAGACATAATATGGTGACATACTATTTGCAGAACTCCTGTGCTCGAAAAGGCTTCTAAATCGGTGTGGGAGTTAATATTGGATCAGCATGGTTTGGGGAAGGAGATCAGTGAAATTGTTGAGAAAGTCTTTTGTCAACTAAGTGGCCGTGAACCTCCATTGTTTCGTCCATCAAGCAGTGAAGCACAGCCGGAAAAAGAGAGAGAGGATACACCAACCTCTTCGTCCAAAAAACGAAATTTTAGTGAGATGGGCGACGAAGATGTAGATGAAGTCATACAAGTTCCAGCAGATGAACCAGTAGCACCACAGAATATTAATATGCTTCCATCACCCAATTAAAATGACTGTACCTTACTCTATTGATCAGCTTTTGCTAATTTGTACTGGAAGAAGAACCACATTGATGTGAATCTTCGTGGAAAGGTATCACATGTTATCGATTATTTTCTCCTTTTTCATGCTAGTTGTATACATGCTAGATGAAATGCATTTGCTGTCTTCAATATTAGTTTTCTTGTTTCTCGGTATTTATGTGTTTTTGCGGATGCCACTGAGCAACATTTTAGAACCCAATTTGTCTTTATAATACAAATGGGATGTCGATCATTGAATTTATAGTTGTAATGGAGTTAGAAAACGTTACAATTCCTTCATGTTTTGTGCTCTGTTTCACTTGTTGCTAATAGTACTGGTTTTTCTATTACTCCACCTTTTCGGTTATGTGAAAACTATTTTGTTGTCAATACAGGAAGTTGCTACTCTCACCTAACCCATAATTCCTCAGGTCCCAGTTCTATTTCTTGTTTATTACTTGGATTAGATGTTCGACATTGTTTACTGTCGTTTCGCAAGCTACTTTTTTCATTTATCTATTGACAAGGAGAAGTGTAAATTTTTTTGTTTTGTGAAGGCCAAATTCTTTGTTCTGGGGTTGTGTTCTTAGGTTAAGAATTATAAGGGAAATTTTAGTAGAAAGTAGACTGATAGGAATGAATAATGCTATTCATATGTAAGATTTAACCACTGTGCGATAGCCTAACCAGTTAAATTTTAGTTCTCCTTCCCTTGTGCGAAAAGATTAATAGTATTTGGCTGACTTGGTTGATGGGGTACCCATTATACCTATATCCTAAGTTTTCATGAGGCAATTTCTCCCAAAGTAATATTTGCATTATCAGGATGTAGATCAGCTGTTGGATAAAATTAAATGAACATCTGAATTGAAAAAATATTTAAAAACCAAAATAAAAATGGAAAAATACATCAGGCCAACATGTCACGATCTAAAGTTCCATCTTCAAGTTTACATCCCATCTAAAGAATTTGCAGTAGTCATAGAAAAAAAAAGTTAAAATATGATGTTTGGATGATGCAAACAATTAAAGTCATACTTTTGACTCTGAAAAAGTATTTTGCAAGACAAATTGAATATTAACTGTCGAAAGTAGTTGGATGGATAAAAAAGTAGCACCTCGTCTTTATGCCACTTTCTGGCTTTCGATAACGTCACTCTTGTCCTGCTCATGTAATTCAACCTCACTTGGCTATGCATAAATGGGAGAAGGCCACCTTGTCCAGATTTTGTCTCACTTGCTCAATTTTGATTAGTTTCACTCATAAAGTATCAAAACACGTTGTGAAGAGGTTCAAATAATTTCATTTGTTTGTCGATATAAGTTCTTATTCAAAAACAATAAATAAAACATTGTCTTTGTATAATAAAGCAACACAAATAAGCATGATTTAAATCAAACACATTAAAGAAATTTAGAAGTCTAAAAGTTGGAGAAATTTCAACTTTCAAATAGGGCATTTGGAAACAACCTAGAACTTGGATTAAAAAGCTTCAAGAACGCTTTTTTGCCTATGACCATTCCAAATCCATTTGCTCTAATTTTATAAACTATATAATATATATAAAGAACGAAAATTATGATATTAAATTGTGCCACTTGGCTATTTTCTTGTCAAGAAAATAACAGTCTAAACCACATTTTCTATAAATTTAGACGATAATTAGAATGCGGTGACGATATTATTTTGTAGTCTTTATGTTCCTAATTCGCAAAATAACTAGAATATTGAACCAGCAATATGTAAATAGCAGCAAGGATGATGCATCTCCTTGTTCGGGAGCGAAAAACTAACACTTGGTTTCTTGATTCATAGTGATTAAGTAGGAGATTCACATCAACAATTATCTCAGGGTTTGCTTAAAGTTCATCTTCAACATACAAAGATGGGCGTCCTTTTTGGCCTTTAAGACATCTGGTGGGCTATCAAATGAAACCATAGATTGCTATTTGAACTTGTCAGGCTACGGAAAAATATTGCATGTAATAAAAACTTATCAAAATTCAAAAAGTACGTAGTATATTGTGTGCTATCAACTATCCATATCTGTTTCACCACATGCTTTATCTAGGAAGATTCCTTTTAACTTTTGAAATTTCTACATGGGGACCAGAAGTTTTCTATATATATCCCAAGGGATCTCAGGACCCTCACAATTTCCTATTTTGATGCATTTGTTCTCATAATTTTTTAGCATGTTGTGCTCTACGCATTCAATGTCAATGCACATTATGCACGTATCAATCCTGAGTTGATAATGAGTATAATCTCGCTTCTTCGTGGAATTAGACTCATTCAACCATTCTCCGTCGTTTTTCTCTATTGGTTTTATGTTTTTTCCTGAATCTGTTTTCTTTCTATTCAGCTCTTTCATTTTTCTGTAAAAAGTAGTTTTTATTACTCCTCATTTTCACTGTTTTCCTTGAGGTTTCCAGGGCTTAAATAAAAAATTCTCGACACTTGGTAAACGTCAACATATTCAGCATAAGATGTCATCGAATAAACATTGCAGCCCTATTTCAGAAGACGAAAACCGATATGCAGTAATAGATGAAAAGAAGCAGAGGAGAATGGTTTCGAACCGTGAATCAGCGAGGAGGTCGAGGATGAGACGCCAGCAGCATATCAAGGACCTGCAACATGAAATCATGCACTTCATAAGTAAAAGCAATGAAATGGTTCTGATGATGAATGATATTACACAATGTTATTCAATTATCGAGTCAGAGAACATAATCTTGAGAGTACAGAAAGAAGAACTATGGAGAAGGCTGGAGTATGTGGAAATGGTTAGCAACTACATGTATATGGCAAATGAGCATTCAGTGAGCAGTCTTCAGGATTACTGGCTTAATCCTTGGTAGCCTCCAGTCCAATTTCAGCCTATCCATAACCTCTGCTGTGATTTTCCAGTTCTGAGGTTTCACTGATTTACTTGATGTTGCAATTCGATTTCCAAACACGGTTCATCTGTGGAGATGATAAGATGAGACGTGGCCTATTCCTGTAGGGGATTCTAAGCTCTGCACTTTTCATATGTTATACAAGGCAATAATTTCTTATTTTCTTGCTTTTCAGTGTTGCGGAAAATGAAAATGAAATGCGGAAAATCAAATTGTTTTGAGGAATAACATTTCGCATATATAAATTCAAGTGAAAAATCAAACTGTTTTGAAAAAAAAAACACGTCGCATATCATACATAATAATAATACATCGTCTAGATGCTGCACAGTAATGCAACAGCAGTTTTTGTTTAACATGAAAAGTTTCAAAGTGTAACAAAAGCCAATATGTACATATGATCCTCCAACCACAGGAGCAACGCAAACTTCCACTAAAACCACATTCGATTACAAACAAACATCTAGATTGCCCCACGACTCATGTTCCAAAATTCTACTTCATGCTCGAGAATGCGTATAAGAATGACCTCAGCTTTTGAGAGAACGTCATCCGATGCCTTTTCCAAACACCGATTCGTTATGTTTTTGAGAGAACAACAATACTGACCAAAACCCTCATTGCCCCATCTTTGGCAAGTCTCTTTGAGTTCTTCTGGAGTTCTACTACCATCTTCCAAGCAGTGAGCAAAACTTTCTTGATAGACAGTCTCAATGGCCCAAAAAGCTGTGATGGCCAATGTGTACTCAACATCAGGGTTCATTAGGCTTTCCAAAAATCTGTAACAGAAAGGATGATATCAATTGCTCAACAATAACATTATTTTAGCCACAAAAATCATCAAATAATTCATCTAACCATTGTTGCTTGAACTTGTCACCTTTTCTTCTAACCAGAGGAAGGACGGAAAGATTAAGTGGTAAGAGAATATACATCACACTACTTTTAAGATACTTGACTCTCAGGTTGTAACTGTAGCAATTGTACACATTCATCATACCAATATTTGCATCTTCAAAAATTCCTCTCAAAACTATATGCACATTTGATCCTTTTGACGAAACACATGTAGACCAGTTTTAACCGTAATACAAATTTTGAGTAAATTGTAAAATTTTGAAGTGAATCGCCTGGATACACCAGCAAGTAAATATAAACAGAAACTGTAGCTCACTTGAACGAAGCTAAATCAGCAAACTTAGGATAATATATAAAAGCAATATAGTTTCACAACGAGCAGTAGCAACTCAGACACTTTGGAGTATGTTTGAGAACACTCTCAATTGAACTTCTGAATCTTAGACGTGCCATCTAGAAGTGAACTTCAAGGAAAAGGTTCATTTTAAGAAGTTAGTTCATAAAAATTGACTTTGGTGGCTTTAGAATTTTCATTTCCCACAAAATCTACAGGCAATCATTTTTTAATTCTAAAGCACTTCTCAAAAAGAAGGATTACCAAACGTTTAATGTGATGGGAAGAACTTTTTTTTGAAGACCATTTGAAATACAACCATGAGATGAAATTTTTAATTTAAGAAGTTGAACATGGCACTTAAATTAAGATTGGATTAGTTATCAGAACTATCAATAATGTGTTACAGTACCTGCAGTAGTCAACGTTGGCCTTGTGCGGTACAACGCTGTTCAGAGCAACACCCCACTTCGAAGCTTCTTTTTTGAACCACTCAATCTCATCATTTAGAGCAGCCATGCCACCCAAAATCAAATCTATATCAGAACTATCATCTGTCTCCTTCCAAGCTTTCACCAATATACTGGCAACAAAAGGAACAAACGCTCTTACAAATATGTAGTCCTGTGCCTGCACTTCATTGTTACACTAGGCTTATAAAATTTCCCACAATCATGTACAAACAGTTAAATACAGATGTACACTAGAATGAGCAACCGAATAACATTAAGGCTCCATGTGCTTGGATTAGGTTTGCAAGTCAATCAAGCCAGCTAGTAAGCTTTTTCAGCTTAGATCATAATATTCAATCGAGCAGAGCAAAAGGTTCATTTTTTTAGTTAATCCTGACTATTTTTCAATTATTTTAACGTCAGATAATCAATCATTCTAAAGTCTTTCCGCATACAATTATGTTGCTTTCATTCCTTCTGGTAGAGTCAAATGCGTGTGCAAATTATACACTAGGTACAATAGCATGAATTGCTTGGCTTAAAAAATGAAGCTGCCAATTGGAATTTTACCTAAAAATACAGATGGTTCAATGAATTCTCTGTTTGGCAAAGCTTAAAAGTCACTTAAACTTATATAACTAAAAGAAGAATCTATGAAAGTTGTTAAATAATAAATCTCGTCATCAAATAACCTTCTCGTTTACACTATGACACCACTGATTTTTCCGCCATATTTTTATTAATTAAGTAGAAAAAAAAATTAAAGATGCCAAATGTAAACCACAACAAGAGAAGTTCAAAATTAATCATAATTTACCAGCCATCGTTTGAAGGAAGAGATGTCAATAGAGCCATCACGAATGTTGAGAATGAAAGGGTGCCTGGTGGCTCCGGTGTATATCAGACGGTGCTTCTTCATCCACGTGGCAATAATATCGCCCTTTCCATCCATTTTACTCCCTTCGCTTTTCTGCAGATGATCGTTGCTTCTTCTACTTGTGATTTATAGAACCAATCAAGGGTCTTCCACAGTTCACTATCTTCTCTTTTACCCATTTGTTGCCACGTGTACAGTGCATTAGAATGCCATTTGTACACTTGGTAATTAATTTAACCGATTCCCAAACCCTATTTGGACCCATTAAAATTAGATTTTTTAGAAAAATATATTTGAAATAATGATTTTTTGAAAAATGTGTAACTTAAAAAAAAATTGCATTTAAATGTAATATTATTTTCCGAGTGAATATATGATAAAAAATGAATTTTGAAAAATTTTATTTTTTGAAAAAATGAACCACACACGGGCTGAGACTAACAAAAAATACTTCATATTTTGACAAAGAAAAAAGATTACACAATTTTGATCAATCATAATTAGTCAATCCTAACCTGGGCTAGGCGAGTCAAAAGTGGACCTCAGGCCCTCAAGCTGTCAATCATGATCTAGGGCCTGTTTGAGAGAAATTTTAATCAAAACTTTAATCAAAATTCTAGCCGTTAACTATCAAATCAGCCACTATCTTTGACTTTCCCTCTCACAGGTGGGTCCCACAGATTGACTATAACAGCTATAATTTTGATTAAAATCCCACAAAAATTGCTCCCAAACACCATCTAGGTATGATTGAAATGTGATGAACTATATCATAGACTGAATTGTTAAATCGTGTCCATTAAGTGATACAAGTTCGTCAATCACGTGTCAACACATCTCAAGCAAGAAAATTTTGGTAAACAATTGTAGACTTTGTAGCCGAAAGTTATGAGCTTATATTATTTTTTTGTGCTCATTGATTTACCGATTTACCATCTATAGAAGCTCGTAACTCGCTAAGATTTATTGGCGCACTAAAAAAACATGAAAACGTTATAAAGACTTCAAAAACATGACATATGCACATAACCAATAAGTTGTCGGATCAGCAATTTCTTGGTGCATTCATCATAGCGACCTGAATAAAATTTAATGAAGTTGGAAGAACAACGTCCAATACTTGTATAGAACTCGGCTAAAACCCATAATAGATTTCACATTGCGTGTTGATGCTCTTCTTAAGATGATATTCGCCCCTACTACCGATGCACATGGAAATGTAAAATGCCTCTAGAATACAAAAACTGATTTTATTATTTGCGCTGTTCATTAACGAATTATCAAAGTATGAGCAAGGTTTAAGAAATGAAATGCAATAAGAAGATAAAAGGAGGAGATATCACATATATATATTTTCCAAATGATCCATCATTTTATTTATAGGTTCTGGTTACAACCTTTCCAAAAGGTTTCATCTTTTCATTTGAGTCACAACCATTTTTTTAATTTTTTTTAATTAGATAACTGAATTTGGATGAATGATAACCAAGAAAATGGTCAAAAATCCTAACAAGTGCAAAAGCACCTTTTCACAGCTGGAGAGGTTGTTTGTTGCAGTCAGGTAGTAGCCGATCTAAACAACTTCGCTATGGTCGCATGCTGCCGACTGTGGCCTCTGGTCATTTCCGACCTCCGCTCTTCATTCCAATGACAAATCATGATATAATATATGACCTAATTGTTATAAAGATCATGTATGGAACCAATTTTAAGCTCAAAAATCCTGATTTTTTTACCGTTACTTTTCAAGGTGGGGCCCGCATGTTAGAAATAAAAGTCAACAACACACGGCTGAATTGATGAATAACTGTCCGAAAATCAATTTTTGTCTCCATTACAATCAGCTCCAGACATGGCCAAAGATAGGTTTATATATATATATACCCACACTTTTAACACACTCTCTCTTAACGTGTAAATTTGTCTAATTTTCTCAAAAGGATGACATGTAAATTCATATTTAAATTGATTCAACTTTGATATTAAACACGTATGTCTGTTAAATATCCATGACAGTAGCTCTCTGCGAAATCCTTTGTAAAATTACCCTGCACTTGAAAGAATCTCTCCAAACTTCACCTACATTGAAGTCATTTTTTTTGCTAAGTTAATTCTTTCTTCATTCTCAACGCTCTTTGATAAACGATATTCATCTCAAGTGTTGGGTTTTTTGATACCCAAACATGATATAATATATGACCTAATTGAAAAGTAACGGTAAAAAATTCAAAAACCGTTACTTTTCAAGGTGGGGCCCGCATGTTAGAAATAAAAGTCAACAACACACAGCTGAATTGATGAATAACTGTCCGAAAATCAATTTTTGTCTCTATTACAATCAGCTCCAGACATGGCCAAACATAGGTTTATATATATATATATACCCACACTTTTAACACACTCTCTCTTAACTTGTAAATTTGTCTAATTTTCTCAAAAGGATGACATGTGAATTCATATTTAAATTGATTCAACTTTGATATTAAACACGTATGTCTGTTAAATATCCATGACAATAGCTCTCTGTGAAATCCTTTGTAAAATTACCCTGCACTGGAAAGAATCTCTTCAAACTTCACCTACATTGAAGTCATTTTTTTGCTAAGTTAATTCTTTCTTCATTCTCAACGCTCTTTGATAAACGATATTCATCTGAAGTCTCAAGAATAATTTTCTCAGTATGGACATTTTATCGTATAAGTCCATAGTTCAAGTCCTATTGCTATCTATTTATGAAAATTGTGCAACGTGTCGCACCTTTGACATGAAATGAATCTGGCCTGTGGAGAAGTGATATCCTAAATTGCCGACTACCAATCTGAGAAATCCGTCCTCCACGTGCGCATTATGTAGTTATATTGATAAAATAGACTGTAGTAACTAACGGGGTAAGTAAATGAAATTTAGACGTAAATCTGCAACAAAAAGTAGAGGAGAGACCCCGTAAAGATGAGTGCCCAAACAGGTTTTTAGCCCTCGGAAGAACCAAGAAAATCAGGACAAGTGAATTTGCAATCAAACAAGATAAGGAGAGAATAAAAAAATACAAAAGACATAAACAAGAAAACAATGTAGCAGAAGATTTATAATAAGGGAGTGACCTGTAAAGCTTTAAAATATTCTGGTGACGATATTCAAATTTGTTTGCAAAGAATCTTATGAAATAGAATTTGCTGCTTTTGCTGAGGTTTCATTTCCAGACTGAATAACAAGCCTTTTATAAGAAAGTGATGATGTGATACAAGAACTCGACTCATTTAATTGGATCCCACATCAAAATACAGTACCCTTTTTGATCCCAACCTTAAGAACAGAATCCAAAGGTAACTTCAATGTTTAAGCAAAAGAACTTGCATGATCTCTTATTCTTGAGAATACTGATATCGAGATATGACACCATAATTTTATTAGAGGTATAAAGGTGGGTTGGGTCAAACCTAATAGCCTAGCCTGCACGGATTACAGTTAAGAACTAAACAAGCAAACGAAGATAATAGAACTATTTGGGTCTGGTAGCTAAGGGATGATCGACCCAAGTCGTGCTGCCCTTTGATTTTATATCGACAACTTGATCCATTTTACACCTCTATAGTCTACTATTGATAATATATCTGGTATAAAAAAATGTTTAAGTTGGTTCTTCGCTCTCATTTGAGAGTAATGGATCATTTTTTCCAGAGTATCGAGCCTGGTTCTCTAAATTGGTTATAAATAAGAACTCATTAATTTTTCCAAAAGGACACTTTAGATAGGACAGTTCAACGTGGTATATCTAAATAATTGAACTTAATGTTGAACCAGGCATCTAAAATTAAAAAATTAGCAAAATGGATCAAATTCCAATCAGACGTTAATGGATAGAGGCTAAACATAGAGAATAAGGAAAACATAGAGTTGATACCAATAAATTAGGGAAAAATCTAACCGGAAAGATATTTTGAAAATTATACATTTAAAGATGTCAAAAGACTAAAACACAAGCCTTTGCCACTAGTTTTCAATTGACTGGAAAATAATCAGATAATTCATAACTTACTAGAAGTAGCATGAAACACCAAAACTAGTTCAGCTGCCAGAATGGACTGATCTGGACAGGATTTCGATAGAAAAATGAATTAAAGTTTTGTACATTATGCTGTCCAGTACTGTTTATTATTGTGTACGAAATATGCTCGTACAGGAACTTATAAACTCTGTGCTCGAACTCAACTTTTACGTTCCATCTAGCACCTATTTTCAAACTTCCATGCAGAAAGTGAACTCAGTGGCGTTCCCTTCCAGCCGATGATTAGACTTTTATTATTCATATTGAACGCGCAAGAATCCCCACACACGAAATTCTTGAGTATGAGATTTGCTTGATATAGAGACGACATGCTCAGTTCTACCTCGATTAATCCAAAACGTCCAAAATATGCCCTCCAGACGTCGATACTCACGTGTCTAATCTTCCTTTCGTCTCCCTCAGCAGCCACAATGTTCCTTATGGCTGAACCGAAACATGTTGATTCAGCAGCCCTTCTGTTTTCTTCATCATTCTTCAGACAATCTGCCATGGAATCAAAAAATGCACCATAGAAAAAGAGAGTGTCAACAAAACGCTCCACAAAAAATGGAGAGTTACAATTTGCCTCGACTTCACTAACAACCATAACACAAGGATTGAGGGTTCTGATCAATCGCATTAACTTGTCCAGACAATCTGGCCGCGCAATCCAATAGTTTAAAACATAGTCAGCATAGACTGCAATAGTTTCGTCCTCGTCAAGATCAAAGAGCTTTTCGTTAAGATCAAGAATATCGTCTACCATGACTACATTGAACGTGAACTTCAAGTTCAAGGATTGAGCAAAACTTGTCAAATGCCTACCTGTCTCATCTATCATTGATGTTGAATTTGTTCCCACAGTCGTAATTTTAAGATACTCGACAGGATGATCATCTCGACTTGCAAGAGCTTGCATCAAAATTGTGCAATGTATTCCATTCTGGATCTGAAGATCAATTATATGAATCTTTCTCGCCTCTGCTACATGTTCGACTATAGCTTGAGTTCCCGCAAATTTGGTAATTTG